CTGCTATTTATAATGACTGGGTACTGTCTGTCAGAAAGCAATGAGCCATGGGTCCACCACTGGTTTTACAAATTCCCACTTTTCAGAGAGACGTAAGAAAATGCTCTGCCAGTTCCCTGAAGCAGAGGGAGTAGACTTGTCCTCTGTGTATCCAGGGGACAGAACTAGGAGCAGTGGGTAAGAACTTTCTAAAAATGCAGCTGCTGGCAACTGGATTTTGTCTGCCTCCTGAGGGAGTGGGTTCTCTTTAGTAGAATCTGAATGACCCTGGTCAGCGATGCTATGACAGGGACTCCACACTGGCTGAGAGATGGCCCAAGATAATTACTAGAGTCGTTTCTAGTGCTGTGATTTGCTTTATCTGTAGTTTGACTTTGTTGTAGATCAATCTGAGTAATCACATCTTCCTAACATCGGAAACAAGACATCAATGTGGCCTTGGGACCTATCATTTTAAAAACTTACCATGTGGAAGATCAGATTTTATCATTCTATAGCCCCGCACAGCCCTTGGTACAGTGCTGAGGACGTGCTGTGTGGACTCTCCCAATTCATGTTGGTTAGTTGCTTCTGGTCCTCTTGTAGCTTTTTGGGATTCTTGTTAGCGGACCAAATGGATCCCCTTAGTCCGCTTCTCCTTTCTCAGAGGTCAGTCCCTTCTGTATCAATCATGTTGCTGCCACCATGCCTTTGTGTTTAAAACCTGAAGTGTTATATGGATGGCCACACAGGTCGCTGCTCCCTCTGGCAGGCTTTTCTGGCCTTTTACACCTGGTGTAGGACTGTGAGCACCATCAGGTGATGCTTGCTTATCGCCATGTATCCAGGGTACCACAGTGGGCACTCTGGGGACTTGGCATAGGATCAAGAAGCAGCTTGAGTAACTTTGCCTGAGAATTTTTCTCCCAAAACCATGGCAAGTTTGCTCCCTTATGCTAAGGTAGAGAGGAAGGGCAGGGAGTTCCCAGCGTAGCACACATAGGTCAGTGGCCCTTAACTCAGAAGAGAACACACCTTCTCATTAATTAAGCATTCCTTCTTACTTGCACGTACTTTGTGAGACACCTGTATAAGAATCGTGAATGACATAGTCCCAGCTGTTATGTAGGAGCTGTTACGGAGGACTCTGAAGTCAGGCACGTGGACAGGTCCAGGGAGGAACCAGAAAGAGATGTTCAGCTCATTCTCCTTCCATGTCATTGGGAGCTCAGACTGGCAGCAAGCCCTGTGACTTTAAGAAATGCTTAATCCTGGGGACTGGAACCATGTCAGAGCCTGATCTCGGAGGTCCCAAATGGACCCGTGCCAGAAAAGCCGCCTGTGTCACATCTGGGGCTCACTGCCTGCCTACCCCACAGCCCTCTGGAGACTCATTACTGTCTACACTGACACACTTTTTGTATCCATAGGGGCTTGTTTGGCTGGCGGCCCCACACACCCAGAATGCTGCTTCGGGATGAAGCTAGGCATGGAGCCAGATGCAACAGAAAACCCGAGAAAGGGTTCTCTTCCCTCTGAGGCTGGGAGGGCCGAATGCTCATGCCCACAAGGATTCAAAAGGGAGAGTCAAGTTGACATCATAAAAAAAAATAAAAAAATAAAAAATCCTGAAAAAATGCCTTAGATATTTGGAGAAAAGGATGACGCTCTGATTGTTTCTATCTCAGGCACATTTGTCCTGGCTAGATGCCAGGTCAAGTGTCTCTGAAAGCTGCCCAGAATTGATCAGAATACAGACTACATATCTTAAAGTTTGAAAATGTTAAGTGACTTTAAAATGTTTAAATGAGGATTCCTAGAAGCCAGAAACAGACCTAATGTGACAGGCTGATGCTGGCCTGAATCCTTATCCCCCTGCTTTTGAGCAGGATGGAAGGCCAACTATTGCATTCTAGAAGGATCTATATGGAGGCTGTCAAAGACTTAAATGTAGACTAGCCTAAAGTCCAAGGAAAATGCTACTTTATCTTTATGTATAAATCTTACACTTAGCATAATAAGTATTCTTGGTTGGTGGTGCAACATAGGGGAAGAGGATTATGTAAGACAGTCTAGGGGGAGGGAAAGTAAATGCTCCCCTTTTATCCTCAAATTTGGGGGGAGTGGAAGATAAGGAATATGGCTTCTGAATGATGAATTCTGCTTCCTCACCCATCTCTTCCTCCTCAGCACCTTGTAATTTACCTGCCGCAGACTGTCTCCTTCCCTCCCCCAGTCACATCAAAATCCCTCTATTTTCTTAATCACACACAGCGAGAGCCCTTCTGCAGGGTCCCATATAATTGAATGCCAGTGAATCCTCTCCTACTGGTGTCTTATCAGTTGTTCCATACAGACCATGTAATTGAAAGTAGGTCTACTAAAGAATCAATTAATGATTTTACCCTCACTTTCTTCTTTACATCCTAAAGCCTATCTCAAGCCTTTCCCCCATTCTTACTCACTTTGGGCTTCTCTCTCGTTTCCCATTGTATTTCCCAGTATAACTTTAAAGTTGAAGGAGATGGTTGAAGGGATAACATTTTAGATTACTCAATCCTGATTACAAATGTTTCTCAATAGGTCATTTGAAATCAATCACTAAGTTAAGCGTCTTGGGTGTACTAGGTTCTGTCTAGCACAAAAGAAGTAAATGAAATAGTTCTAGCCCCTAAGAGCTCATAGTCCAAATGTAAGGGTAACCTAGTTGCAAAGTAGAACATAGTCAGCACTCAACAGATATATAGCAAATGAATGCTCACTTGTCATCCTGTAGCTTCCTAGGGCCGACTGGCCAACAGGATGACTGTTACCCTGCTCCCTTAATTCTCCAGGTGCATGTCTCCTAACGCATTCAAGATAGACAGTCTTTGCAATCAGAAAACCAGCCCTTCTTAGGTCAGATCTTTCTGTGGTACTGGATTTCACTCCTCCTCCCTTCCCCAGTTCCAAACAAACTTTGAAGACTTATTTGTAGCAAAGCTATACTTGTGTGACCTACCCACCTTGTTATTTTCTTTGTCTCTGTCAATCAATTGGAAAGAATTAGTAAGAGGTCTGTTCTCTTTCCATCAAACACTTGGATGGCTATGTGTCAGAATGTACTGGTAGCATTGTACCCTCACCCAGCAAGTGTTTGCCTGCCTGTCCCTTTAGGGTCTGCTCAGAGCTGCCCCGCAGTTAGCCACAGTGGACCCAGGAGTTCCAAAGCCATTTCTAGAGAGAAAGGGAATAATAGCAAATAACCTGACCCTTTCTCCTAGATGCTGCAGGTGATTTCCTAGTGACTTAGGTATACATTACTTCAAAGCCTAACAGCCACACCTTTGGAAGAGTTCAAGTGTGGAAGTGGCCATTGTACCATGTAAGCATTATAAAGAGGCCAGTTAAAATGACCTTTTAAAGGATGAAAATGAGCTTTTAGTCATGGCTATAGTGGATGCTGGATTTTGAAAAGGTTTAGCAAGTTAGCCATTAGTTAACAGTTAATGTCAAACACAGAAATTCATACACTTGGAGACACGTAGAAGGTGGTATATGAGAAGAGCAGTTAAAAAAGAAAAACTAAGCTGAGTTTGTGGATTTTGAAAACTAGACAGGGCGATTTTGGCATTTGTTTCAGAAATGGGAACGCAACTGGTGAAGATTTCTGTGGTCCTTGGGGCTGGTGGTGACATCAAAGCTTTCCCATTTCCAGGTAAACACTATAAACAGTTGCATGTTGGAACCATCAAAGTATAACATGTTGGGTTTTGGAGCGATCAGAGGTAGCTAAGAGGGGAAATGTGAGGTAAAGATGTTAAGTGTTGACTAATGACATTTTGATGAGAAACTGCCATGTGGGGGAACAATTTAGAAGAAACACCAGTCAGATTCAAATCTTGCTTCCTACTTCCCTCCCCCAAAACTAAAGGCATTTCTAGTCTTCTGGATAACAGACCATTGGGGGGAAAGAATAAAATGGTCAAAAATATAGCTTCCTAACATTTTGGACACAGCTGCACTAATCAGTTGATTTAAATTGGAGGTAGGTGGGAATTCTGAGAGTTGAGAGAAGGCCTGGAGTTTTAGGGTGGGATGTGGAGGCTGTTTCAAGGGAGAGTTCCCAGGGGGCTTCTGAAAAAAGGAAGAGGACTTTCCCCCACCCAGATATCATCTTACCTGATGAGTACCCAGATGTACTGTGGTTGAGAGAGAGTTCCTTCTGAGCACTGGGATGTAGTTAGAAAAGTGCTTCTTGTGGACCAGACGTAGAGAGCATGCTGGGCAGCTGTGGCTTCATCTGTGATGTCAAATATCAGGCTGAAAAAATGAAAAACTCCAGTCAGTCATCAGGTTTCCAGACATTAGGATTTTAGTCTTTTTGTGGATTCAGTCTGTTTCCTTGAATAATATAAAGGGATGTTTGAATTCTGCCCACTTAATTCAGTAAATGATAGAGTCATAATTAAGTTATCTAATAACTATGAGGACTCAGAGCATACCAATGATAGTGAAAGACCGTATCCTTCTCCTGTGGATAGTGGAAGGATGCCTGACTCTGCCTTCGCACATGGAGAACTTGTTCAGTTGTATAGGAGCTTTGGACAAAGAACACGTCTAACATCACTCTCATACATCCTGCATGAGGTCTTTTGAGACTGTTTCTTAGTCACTGGGCTAGCTTGACCCATTCTAGCGCAGAGTTTAAGCTAGCGGAAGGGCCCCAGCCTAGCGTATCAGAGGTTATTTCCAGAAAGCCTCCTCCCTCCAGGCACTTCTGACATGAACAGACTGGAGAAGGTGCAGAGCTGGAATGGATTGCCCAACTGGCTTAACCAAGATAAAGGAAGAATGCACCCTGGACTGGGGACTCAATTGGACTGATTTGAGTTGTTGACTATTGATTGGGCTTGGTCTCCTTTGTGGTGGTTGAGATTATAGAATCTCCTCAATCTGATTACTGTACTAATTTCTGCATTCTACCAAATGTAGCATATATGTGTGGTTGGCTTCAATAAATCTTTCATTTACAAATGAAAACAAGCAAAAGCAAGAGTTTGTAATGTAATGCCCAAATTCAGTAAAGGCCCTTGATAACCTTGGTGGAGAACAATGATTCCATCCATTTTAATTTGAGGGCCTTGGTAATTTGTGGAGTAGTTACTTGGTTGAATCAAAAATAGGATTTCTTAAATTTTCTGAGCTTTTATTCCCCTTTTGCAGTGTTATTACACAATATCTTACACTGACATACACAGTTGTTACAATTATCCCCATAAAGCATTAGAAAGATATTCTTTTAATGTTTGCTGCAAATCTTAGATACACATGTCCTGAGTCATGAAAGTCAGGAGAAGTAAAATTTATTCCAGATCTAGGAGGTAACTGTTTTACAAATGCAAAACAATTTGGATAGATAAAATATTTGAAAACAATTAAAACCAAATCAACCTGTACTTTATCTGTGTGCTGAGATTTTAGGTCCAGTGGATCAGAATACAGGGAAAAAACTAATGAGAACCCCTCAATGGATCCTTCACCCACCAAACAAGATTTCTTCAGAAACCGACTTGCTCTTGCAAATGACCTTGACCAAGGAACAGCTGTGTAAAACATACTTAAAGTTGTATTGTCAAGTGGTAAGATGAGGATAAAAAGCTTGTATATATCTGTGTAGGAAAATCTATCTATCTCTATATATTGATGTATAAATCCCTGAGGAAAACGAATATAAATACTTACATATGAAACTAAATTAACATACAAACAAGACCTTGAAGAGATGAAGATTAGTCTATGGTTGAGAGTTGGCTTTTTGAACCTCAACACTTGGGGAAAGGGAAACGAAGACTTCTCACAGCAAAGAAGAAAAACAATAAATTTGGAGGAAAATAAACATTTGTGAGAACATAAACTTCCACCTTGCAGTCATTCTCCCAGTATAACATTGAGCACATTCATATTTAACATGGATATGAATTTTATGCTTCCTAGACATTTAGCTTAGAATTCATGCCAGTGTTCTTAAGACTAACATACACTATGTTAGGGGCCAGCTCTGTCTTGCCATTTGTCTTCCAGAAACTCTAAGGCAATACCTAACATCCCCTAAGACAAAGACTCAATTAACAGAATTGTATTTTACATGATGCAAATCAGAGTTGTAGAGATTGTGTGCTTAAACTATGATATAGAAGGTTCAAAGTTTAAAGACACATTGATCTCCAAACAGGAAGAGAACCTGAAGAGTAGTATTTATCTTGTTCTATGGTTATGAAAATCAGTACAGGGAACAGTGATTTCTTTAGAAACTGGGAGGCCAAAGAAACATTTATCCTTGTGTGGGTTGTGCTGCAGATGAGAGCAGTCCAGAGTCTATGTTTTATTGTGTACTCAGGATTCAGAGACCCACTAGTGATCATGAGTGTTACACTGATGCACTGGGGACAGAAAGCACTGAGTTAGCCACATCCTCTTCAAAGATGTTCTTTAGTCTGGAAAGAAGGTGGCAAGAACATCAGTGCTTTAATGGTTCACACACAGTGGTTGCTACAAACACCAGGCCGGAATGGAAACTTAGGGCTGGCAGTACCTTATTCTGTTTTCCAGAAGTAAGTGGTAAAGAAGCAAAGTTCTTACAGCTCAGACAGAAGAATCATTGCAATGAGGCTTGTCTGGCTATGGGGTAATAAAATGTGCTCTGTTTCCACATGGATACATCTAAGATGATCTACGTCCTTAACATGCTCCTAACATCAGAATCATAACAGGAAAAAATTAGGTTTCAAGAATTTGTCTCTATTTCCAGGCAGTTATCTATAATAAATTAGGGGCATTTGGTTACTGTTCATTCAAAATCTTGGTACCCAAACTGATTTCTTCAGAGACTGTTCCTCTAGTAATGCACTGTTTGATAAAAAAGGGGAAGTTCCATTTCTAAGTGTTACAAGTTTTCTTCTACTTGTCTGATGACTACTTAGAAACTCATTCATTAGCATTTTGAACAGTAGGTGGTTTGAACACTTATAGGATGGCTGCCACATTTTTGAAGTCTCCAATATTTAAGTTTAAGCCGAACTTTTTATTTCCCTGAAATTAATGAACTCTTTTGAAATTAGATTTCTCTCTATTATCTGGCCAAAGAAGTTTTGGGGGCAACGCTTGATGGAGACCAATATATTTTAAGGGAAGAAATAGAAAGTGATGTGTGACACTAGATATGTTTTAAACATTATAAGAACCTAAGGAAGTCATTTAAGCAATGCTGAAAATACTGTTTTGGGAAGTTTTCCAAATTCAGAGTAGTCAAGAGTTTTATACATAAACCAAGTAACTTGTTTTCCAACATTTATTGTTGTTTTTGAAGAGCTTAGTGCATACTCTTTGATAAGTCATCTAAACTTGTTTCTTATCTATAGAGATTTTTATTCCTTCTTCTTGCCTCATTCCCTTTAGAAATAGTAGCATTAAATGCTCTTAATTCTCAGCAGGAAAACTGAATGTGTTGTGTTTCTCATGTATATAAACCTATTCATCTAATGATAGTGGATCTACTGTAAGGGACTGTTGCTGGATACGATCTGTCTTTCTATCTAAATGGGTAGTTTCCACTTAACATTAGGTAGTATTCCCTCTCATTACCACATTTTCCTTTTCAGCTGGGGCAAAACCTTCAACATGCAAACATTTCTCCCATTTTTTTAAGCAAAAAAAATCTTCTTTTGACTCTTCTAGCTATGCCTCAGTTCTCTGCTTTCTTTTATAGTAAAACGTGCAAGAGGAAACTGCTCGAATTCCTCACCTCCCATTCTTTATTAAACTCACTAGGCCCACACCACTTGCCTAAACTCTTGTCAAGGTCATCCGTGACTTTCACCTTGCTGACTGTGTGGTCCATTCTGTCATCTTACTCTCCCTATCAAATAGCATTTGACACGCTGACCAGTTACTCCTTCTGAAATAATTTTGTTACTACACCTAAGGGACAAAATATACCCCTGGTTTTCATCTTTCTTCATTGGCAGTTCCTTCTTGGTCTATTTGCTGGTTCTTCCTTTCTCCTCTCTCTCTTAATGTTAGGGTGCCCCGGAGTTCTTTGCTTGGATCTCTTCTTTTTCCAATTTGTTGGCTTTAAAATATGATCTTTATGCAAGTGACTCCCAATTTTACACTTTCAGCTGAGAACTCCCTCCTAAACTCCAGACTTACATCTCCAACTGCCCCCTTGTTATCTCTCAGATGTCTAATATACTTACTAAACTTAACATGTCCAAGCTTGCTTCAACCCTATCTTCCCCACCTTCATAGTAACTTTGTCCTCCCAAGCCCCAAAACCTTGAACTCATTCTTGACAATTCTATCAACAAATTGGCTGTCTTCCAAATATATCCAGAGTCGGACCTCTTCTTACCACCTCCCCTGCTGTCACACTGGCCTAGCTGCCTTCTACTGGGCTACCCTCCTTATTCCCACTCTTAACCCCTAATTATTCTCACTGTGGCAGCCAGAGTGATCCTGTTAAAATGCAAATCAGATCATGTCATTCCTCAAACCCACTAACGGCTCTATTTCTCTCAAACAGAAGCCAAAGTCATTACCAGTGACCTGGACCCCGTTAAACCTCTGATGGCATCTCCTGTTCTCCCCACATTCATTCCTCTCCAGACATAAGTAGTCTTGCTATTCTTCAGATACACCAAGTACGCTCTGCTTCTGGGCTTTTGGATGGGCTGTTCCCTGGGGCTTGGCATATCCTTTCCCCAGATTCTTGCATGTCTCCTTCCTTCACCTCCTTCAAGTCTTTAACTCATCGGTCACCTTCTCCGTGAGGCTGACTCTGACCATCCCATTTAAATCTCACCTCCCCTTTCCCCTCCGTCTTGGCCACCTTGTCCTTGTTTATAGCAGTTACAACATTCTAATGTATACTATACCTGTTTATTCTTCTTACCTTTGGTCTATGTCTCCTCACTACATTGTTAAGCCCATGAGGATATGGATTTTTGGCTGTTTTGCTCATTGCTATATTCCAAAATCAGAACTGTACCTGGAACAATAAATACTTGTTGAAAGTTAAATAGTCAGATAGGCCCTTATGAAATGCTTATAATTAAGGTCACTCAAAACCAATTTAAGGGACAATAAACTTCAAAGGAAGCTGTAAAGAATAAAAATACAGGGACTTCAGAATGAACAATCAACCTCTTAAAAGATATCTAATAGCAAGCAAACTTTGAAAACATATCCCTCAGAACTTTAGTAGTTTATTAAGCAACTACTCTGTAAAAGGTACTGGGCTTTACACATATTATAGCAGGTCCTCAAAGAATGTTTTGTTCAATGTTGTTTCATTATAACATTGATGAGATGCTGTAGGAAATTAACGTTTGTTTTTATCAATTAACCTGTGATAAAGCTGGTTTCATTATGTCGTTTTGCTTAAAGTTGCACAACCTATTAATGATGTTTAGTGAGTACTTACTGTACTTTTAAACCTCACGATAGTCCCTAATAAATCTGTTAACTTTATGTATTGATGAGAAACAGACTCACTATTTAAATAACTTCTCCAAAATCATATATTTAGTACTAGAACCAGAATGTGAACGCAGATATGCGTGATTTCAAAGCACCTGCGTGTTGTACTCTTGTACCACAATGATTCTTCCTTTTCTTGATGAGTCATGAAGGTAGAAAAAACAGCTTCTAAAAATGGGCTGTAGTTTTTTTCTTGCCTCCAATGAGACTCAAAAGTCCTAAAATGTTAGAATGGGCATAAAATGCTTTTTTGGAATCATATTGTCAAAGCCCTCGTCTCTGGAAGCCATGTGTATCTATCTGCAGAGAGGCAGGCTTAACTGTGGGATGTACTCTAGAGACTTAAGCGCCCAGAATCTGTGATGAGCTAACATGATTAAAATAAGAAGAAAAGCAAACCACCTGGCTAAAATTCAAAGGAAGTGATGTTCAAGAACAAACTCAAAATCAGGTTTGATTAATACAAATATTAACGTTACTTTCCTATAGCTGTTATTAAATCGATTACCTAGAATATACTTAAAAATACATACTTGGATTTCACAATGGCCTACAAATGGAATTTGTACAAACTGATGATTTTATGTCATTAAACTGGGGGTGGGGGGGTGGGGAAGCACCAGTAAATTTTAGCTATTCCTGAACGCAGTCCTCCAAATACCAGGAATTGAATTAGAGTCAGTGGTCTCAATTGCTGACTGCTAAGTCATCTCACTGCTGCTGGCCTCACTTACTTCAATTTTTAAATAGGTTTTTAAATAGGTCTCTAAGGATTCATGATTTTTTACATTCTATAGTTCACCATGAATAACCTCGCATTTGCATAATTCTTTACCATGTGCAAACAGTAAACTGTACTTTTTCATGCCAAGCCTAAAAAGACTTGATAAATGTCAGGCTGCCACGTTCCAGCAGATTTCAGCAAAACTTGCAATACCATACAACTTTTTATGGCATACAAATGCCTCAGCCCTCTGAAACTTCATCCAGATGACACCTGGTCACTAAAAGACTAATCTTCCTCCCAAGGGTCTCCCAATCACTACAATGATACAGAAGGAAATACTGAACTTCTTATGATATTGTGATACAGAAATAACTGCCTCCAAAGCAAGTTCATGATAAAGAGCAAACTATTTCTATATTGAAAGTAAGAGCTAAAATGAATACCACTGATGACAAAATACTGCCCTCTACAATAAATACTTGCAAAAATAATACACTCGTGGGCTATGTAAGGCATTTTTCTTTATTATTTTTCAGTTTATCTTAGTAATGCCAGAAAAATAACAGCCATTATTTTCACTTAAAATGCAAACCAAATACTGCTGCACATAGAGTACAAAGATTACCTACAAACATCGTTAGGTACAAAGGCCATATTAGATGTATAGATCACACTTTGTTTTTACAACCAAGTAAGACTTACAGAGCAAATTTTCTTGACAATTATTTTAGCAAATACTGTGCTACTAAACAGAGGCAAAGACACATATATATATACACGAACATGTTTCAACTAAAGTTATACATGTCACTTTGACAAAGGCTTCTTCTCTGATGGGTTTCACCAGATATTTGCACCCCAAATCCCCTGCCCTGATCCCGCCCCCAAGTGCTGACTTGATCTGAAGAAAAAAATTAGAGATGTTCTTAATTAAAGGCACATTTGGCAGCTACTGAAAGTGGCATGCATCTGGCACAGGTGCGCTTTCCCTAAAACCACACGTTACTTCCATCCGTTATGCATCTTGTTTCTTTTGAGTGGTAGTTCAACGTGATCCACCTTTAGCTAACTTTTATAATTTCGCAGCAATTGGCTACTTAATGCACTATTTTCATTAAAGGCAAAAGGGAAATTTACTCACAGTTGACAGAAAATGCACTTTACGGTGTCAAAAATGGAAAATAAGGCATGAAATTTACAAAACAAGTTACAAGTGCTTTTGTTGTTTAGATTTATCATATAGACTTCCTGCTTCTTAATTAGAGTTCAAAGTATTTTATTGGCTCATGTATAAGGGATTATGAAATGATTTTCAAATTTAGTAATGAGATGTTTCAAAAGAAAATTGAAATAAACTAAGTCATCACTTTTCCCTTATAATTTTACTGCATAATTCTTTCAGCCAAACTGATATTAACCTTGTGATGTTTATTTTACTGGTAAAGATTAATGTGCCACACAGCAGGACCTGCACTCATATAACAAACAATATAGGTTAAAAAAATAAGTGAACCTACCCATAGCAGCAGAACACCAAGAAATAAAAGGTTAAATCTGTTTCTTTCTAAATCTGGAGGGGAAAAAAAAAAAAGGGTTTTCTCAATATGTACAATGCTAATAAACTGGGACACCCCTCCCTCCATATCCATTATTTGTTTTGCTGAGCCACTTAAAACTGAATTTAAGCTGTCATTAAAAGACGAGTGATGAAATACATGACCAAAGTAAGCTAAATGAGAATTAAGAGCATGATTCTAGATACCAACTAATTTTTGGTTTGCATAATTTTTGATTTATGAAAAAACCCATTAAAGAAGAGCTTAGAACCAGAATATAGCTTCCAACTGAAACAGCACTTGTTCACTTGGCTGTTCTGACTGTAGTATATATAATTCATGTGGCATGCTCTTTGTTAAAAAGATCCAGTAAAACATTCTTGAGTTGTTAGAGCACAGTAACCTACTAAACACATAATTTGATACCCAACAATCTTTAATTAAGCAAACTTTTAATATTTGCATATTTCCTGATAATTTATACTCTTAAAATACATTGGAAGACTGGAAAGAGTAAATAATCTGTCTTTCAATAAGTTTGGAAACACATCTGTTCCTGCTTTTAAATGTGCTTAGGCGTGAAAAGGCTTCCTTTCTATATCAGCCCACCTTAAGTAATATTTTACTGGAAATATTTTCATTGTGTGATCCAAAGATAATGAAACATCTATGAATGTTTCCATTTCTAAAAGAAATGTTCTGTATTTTGGAATCTGGATTAGAAAAAGTCATGCTGCATTGACTGTCTTGTAAATGTCTCAGATTCAAAAGCAGAATTTTGTGGTGATGCATTTATCTTCTCAGCTACTTCTTGTCCCTGATTTAAGTGTATTTTAGTCACTACAAAGAATAAATTTGTCAGCTAATGTTCCACATGTGAAGGCAAGGAAACAGTTCTCTCACCTCCACTGAAGGGCATCCAATTGGAATTTATCTAATTAGTTACCACTTCAGCAAATATTTTTACCCAGATGTCACACTTCAGAATGAAAATATCCTCTATCCACAATGCATACAAAGCTGAAATGCACAGTGAAGTGGTCTGCTAGAACCACCAGGGTAGAAGAATGGTTCCCTTTGCAGAGAAGTATAATTAGAACTCCAAATCTTGATATTTTCCTGTTTATACGATCAGACAGGTTGAAAACCTTTATTGAAGGCGAACACACTGGCCAGAGAGAGATTGAATGGGCTCCAATGTTACTTTTCTCAGGTTCTCATTTGGAGTAGGAATGGTGTAATTAAAAAGAGAAGCGATCAGTGAGACATACAAAAGGAAATCCTAGAGACAATGAGGCTGGTCTAATAAAAAGCCATGGGAGATTCTGGAATGTGTATTATGATTAATTGTAGCAGCACTAGTAAGTAGGCTTCAATACTTATTGAATGAATGGTCTTATGGACACTTTGCATACAAGAGTAGATTTGAAATTCATTTTTTGGGAGACTTTTAAAAGGAGACACTTTACATAAAGAAAAGTGGCTACCATAACAGGAATGGTACAAATATTAAACAGATATTCAACTCTAATGAATAAAGATATGCTAGGATGGATTGCTCAATGATGGTGCAATCAAGATTCTGGTCTTAAAGGACTGTATACTGTACTATTGTGATGTACATTTAATGCTCTAATAAATGTCACAGGAAATGAAAGTATTAGGTTTCCACCATGATGCAGCACTTCTAAAAATGTCTCTAATGGCATGGTTAACAGAGCTGCTGAAATGTTGCTTCATTATTCAGAGGACACATGCACATACTGATGAACTGATGACTCTCTAAGGATGGAATACTGCACATCTCACAGACATTATAGTGGAGATTAATAAAACTTTTTCTCTTCAACAAGCTGCATGCATTTCAGTTACAGTATTTGTTAGACTCAGAAGATCAGTACATAGACTTAATGAATAATCCATATTATGATATTAATGATGTAGGCAGATGTTCTATTATGAATAAGTTTTGATAGAGCAAAGACCTCAAGCAAGGTAGAATGTTTAATATAAACTTTAACAAGCTGTATACATGTTGCCTAGGAAATTAAAAAACTTACAAAGTTCTGCTTAAAAGATACCCATCCTATTCTAACCAAATATTTTCCTACATGCCAAACTGCAACTTTAGATCATTCTTTAAGATGAATACGTACATCCAGAATTTGAAACCAAGGCGTACCACAATACGTGCTTTTATGCGTAGTGTTTGTGTGTGTTTCAACTGAAAGAAATAAGAATCAACCATTTTCACCATATAATAATTTAATATATGCCAGCCAAACACAGTATTTGTATCTTTATTCAATTAAATTAAAACAGACCTGCCAGGTTTATTATATAACATTCACTATATACACATGATTTAGGCAATGCAAGGTAATTCTAGATATGCTGATTACTCAGCTATTAGTAAAACATGAATGGTGTCAGTGATGCCCAGCAAGTACTAAGTGCTCCTTGTCACAGTGGGTGACCCCATTTCCATAGCATGGTTAGAGAGACAGCTATGAGCCATGACATGGATTACCAGTAAACTTTTGTGGGGAAGGGGGAAATGACAATCTAGCATAGATTAACAGTCTCCTAAATGTAAATCGTATACTTGACAGTTACAGTTTTAAAAAAGTTCTTCTGTCATGTTAATGACACAAAAATTCTCATTTGAAGGCAACACCACCACGTTTTGTTTGTATAAGGAGGGTGGGTGGGGGAATGCTCTTAAAATTGGTATAATTATTTTAAAAAAAAAAAAGTACCTCTTTGGTGAAGCCTCGGTACCCATTCATTTCATTCAATTCACTGTAATAATCTGTAAACAGGACTGTAGTACAGTGCTGGGCCTTGATTCCAACAAGGTCAGGTACACAGCCTTTCCTCACAGTCCTTTCAATGATTTTTAAGAAAATATTCTAAAGTTGGACGAATAAAAGCAAAGGAAAACAAAGGAGGATATGAAGATCCCTGTTTAAGATTTCTTTTTAAAAAGTGCATAATATTTTGAATTACAAAAACTGTCATCATGTGGGCCTGCTGGACACTAGACTGTTTTCCATCCCTTTAATGATAAAGATCACTTCACAAAAACAGGACTCTGTCCCACTGGCTGGAAAAAAATCCCTTTAATTGAGTTTCAGGTGCCATCAGCTGTCCAATTCCTCTGGATTAGTCTTTCCACATTCTAAACGAATACCACTTTCATTTTACAATTACGTCTAGGTTAAAATTCAATGTCTTTACTGCATCTTGAAGTAGAGTCGTTAGTGTTTGGAGTTCT